ACACACACACACTCAGCACAGGACTCCTTAACACTGTCACTGGACACACACACACTCAAGACAGGACTCATAACACTGTCACTAGACACACACAAACACACTCAGACAGGACTTATAACACTGTCATTGGACACACACACACAGTCACACACACACACTCAAACAGGACTCCTTAACACTGTCTTGGATACACATACACACACTCAGACAGGACTCATAACACTATCATTGGACACACACACACACAGTCATACACACACTCAAACAGGACTCATAACACATCATTGGATGGACACACACAGTCACACACTCAGACAAGACTTATAACATTGTCATTGGACACACACACACAGTCACACACACTCAGCACAGGACTTTCATAGACACACTATCGCTTGACTCATACACACATACATGTACACACAATTCTGTATCACAGGATATACACACACACACAAACACACACACAGGACTTACACACTTAAGGCACACTATGCACATTCACTGTTACTTGACATTAACACATAGTCAGGCACACACACACACACACAAAATAAACAAAACATATTAAGGATTAAGAAACTAAAACAAAAGACCTAGCTGTAAGGACACCCTCCTCCGGGGACAGTATCTCAGTTTTGGCCCCTCTCTAGTCATCCCTTCTCACTCACTTCCCCACATGCTGTTGCCAAAACTCTCCCTCCTGTCTCCCTCTCATCTTCAAACAGAACCACTGCTCCAGCCAGGTGACCTCCTCGCTGCCACACCTCAGATTTCAGAATGAAAAGGCCTTTCGTGCCCCTGCCTTGAAAATCCCCACTTTTTATTCTGATCTTACAATGTGCCCAGACCTGAGGGGGTGGTTTTCAGATCTCAGAAAGAGAAGAGGGTGTCTGGGAAATGGGTGCATGTGCTAGTCACCTTTCTCCTCTCAAGAAGCAACCTAAGGGAGGAGGGGCTGTTTGACTCGTGGTTTGAGCAGTGAGGCAGTCCACCGCGTCAGAGAAGCTCTGGCTGCAGGAGCGTGAGGCAGCCGGTCATACTGTGTCCACAGCGAGGAAGCAGAGAGAGGACAGGAAGTAGAGTCAAGCCTCAAGGCCCGCTTACCCCAGTGACCCTCTTCCTCCAGTCTATAGGTCCCACAGCTTCCTGACACAGGGCCAACCGCTGAGGACCAAGTGTTCAAACACAGGTGGTGCCTATCACAACAGGAGAGAGCAGCAGTGACCAATGCTCATGGGAAGGGCACAGTGGGGGGTCCCAGCACTCATGGGAGGGGCGCAGTGGGGACCCCAACATTCATGGGAGGGGCGCAGTGGGGACCCCAACACTCAGGGGAGGGCTGTAGCAGGCCCATTACACGATTCAATTCATTTAGCCCTTCAGTAGTTCCTCTGGGTGAACATTAATCCCCTGTTCATCTTTTCAGTCACAGAGGCAGAGATGTGTGGCTTCCATATTGTTCAGAGCTTTGGAAGCTCAGACCTGGGCTAGGATGTCCGGACTAGGAGTTTTCTGCAGCTCAGGAGGATGTAGCTATTGGCTTGTGGCATCTTCCCCAGGAACTGAAAGGCATCCTGGCAAAGGGTAGAGGGTAGAGATTAGAGAGGAGGGCCGTTGCAGAGCCCCTTCTGCTGCAGCCCTCTGAGGGCAGACAATGCAGGCGATTGGATATTGAAATTTGTCAGGAGAGTGGTTTTGGGCAGCAGGAAAGGTCAGCTCAGGTTCTACCCGTAGACTCTAGAATATTCTACATTAAGATCTTTCCCCTTTCACTCACACTTTGTTATTTAGACACATATTTGTCTTTAGCGATTTTTTTTTCCAGTTTGATCAAAGCCACTTTTCTTTTTCCAAAGCTTCATGTGTGTGGTCCTGCAGAGGGTATCTGCTCACGGCCATTCTGAGCCTCTCTCTCTCTGCTCATTTGCCAACTTCCCCAGGTTTCCTGAAGTTACGTAAGGCTGGCAGCAGGATCCACCCCCATCCTTCCTGGCCCATCTTAGAAGGTGATTTATTTTTCCTGGGGCTATCCAGTCCTTTGAGAATACAGATTATAAATTCAACTTCAAAACATGTCTTTTTTTTTTTTTCATTTTAGAAGAAGAAAAATCCAAACGAATGTTCCCACGGACACTCTTGCTGTCTGTATTATCTGAGTGTTTCTGTTCCTGAGAGCTCATTGGGCTGGATCTTCCTGCTCTTAACTCTAAAATAAAACTTATATAATTCTAATTTGTCCAGTTGTTCTGATGGCTAAAGGAGTTACCATACTGTGGAAAAGGATAGTGAGAAGTCGGGCCTGAAGTCCTCTCTTGGTGTCATTTGTAGAAATTCTCAGGTGTTTCTGCAGAGGTGTGCACACTGAGAGTTCAGCACAGTGTGGGGTATACCTCAGATTAGAGCCATGGCTGCCTGTAGGGAGAAGGGGGCATGTTTTCTTTACTTTTTATCTTTCAAATCTCTCTCTCTCTCTCTCTCTCTCTCCCTCTCTCTCTCTCTCTGTGTGTCTGTCTATCTGTCTGTCTGTATCTGTGTGTTTCTATGTGAATATGAGTGGTCCCGTGGAAGGTCCCATGGAAGCCGGAAGAGGTGACCTGATCTCATGCTCCTGGAGTTATAAGCAGCTGTGAGCTGCCCAGTGTGGGCACTGGGACCTGAATTCAGATCCCCTGGAAGAGCAGTATGCACTTCAACGGCTGGGCTCCTTGCCCTGGTTTTCTTTAGTGTGACTTGGACTTTCTGTGAATACTTTCTTTGTATTTGAAACAGTAACAAAGATCACAGAATTGAAAGGAATGGGGTCAGCACGAGATGGTGGGTGGAGACACACACGTGGATGTGTGTGTGTGTGTGGGGGGGTGTATTGCAAGGCATGGAAGTCACAGCTGTGTGGTGGCTTATCCAGAGAGGTCAGGTATGTCTATAAGCATCAGGGAAAGCTGGCTCAGAAGCAAGCCAAGCTCTGAAGCAGAAGTGCAGCTGGCTGGGCTGTCATGTTCCCCCGTGAGTGGCAGCTAGGTGTCCTTCTGCTGCTGCTTCTTGTCCCCCGTGCTCTGTCCACTGCCATGGCGGTTCTGTGGTTTGGAGCTGATGACTGTCCCAGGTCTCACACTATCTTTTTAACCCCATCTTCAGGCATCTTGGCTCTGGAGAAGGCTCCGTGGCAAGAAGCGGTCGGTGATGGCGTTCTGCCTCTTGATGACCCTGTCTGCAGTGGCTGTCACCCATTTTCCTCCAGAACATCCAGCTTCCACCCCAGGACTCGGTCCCATGGAACCTCGGAGGGAAATTGGCATGTCTGACCCCAGAACTCAGCAGACTTTGAACTCTAGCCTGAGGCGGCCAGTGAGGAACCTGGGCCTCTGGACAGGCCAGGCTTTGCCCAGAAATCCCATCTTGGTCTGTGCCAAGAAGCGAAGTCACAGAAGACAAGTGGAGAAAAGCAGTCACCCTCTGAGCACCAGGAGAGATGCCACTGTTACAGGAGAGCTGACACTCAGCGCCCAGCATCAGGAGCGTTTAATGGAGGATGACGTCAGAGATGCAGGAGGAGCAGCTCTAGACCAGCCTGGTTTAGTCCAGGAGACACAGAGCAAGACAGTCACCATGATTATCCCCCACACAGAGCGCAGCCAGGCATCTTTCCAGGCATGGAGCGGTACTGATGCAGTGAGCCTTAGGCCACAGCCAGCAGATGATGACGATCCTTTGCTAGGAGCCGAGAACAGAGTCTTGACTGGTGAGAAGGCTGGGGGTTCCCCCTCAGGGTCAGGGACTCCGTGGTGGTCCGGCTCTGTTGAGGACCTGCAAAAGTCCCCATGGTGTGGTACTGAGACCCCTGGACTTGCCAGTACTGCTGCATGGGGACAGGTTCCACCATGGTTCACAGAACGTGATGTACAGACTCTCCGGCTACTGGCCCATGGGGAGGTGATGGGCAAAGCCAGGGTCCCTGCCCATGGGCAGGTGCTGCAGGTTGGACTATCTTCTGGGGATTCCCTCCAGGACATATCTCCTCTCAAGCTTAGCCAGCTTTGCTCCCAGGGTCTCTGCGGCCTGATTAAGAGGCCTAGGGACTTGCATGAAGTCCTATCCTTCCACGTGGACCGTGTGCTGGGTCTCCAACGGAGCCTGCCTGCCATAGCCCGGAGCTTCCACAGTTCCCTCCTGCCCTACCGTTACACAGACGGCAGCGTGAGGCCCATCATCTGGTGGGCACCAGATGTACAGCACCTAAGAGACCCAAATGAGGACCAGAACTCTCTGGCCTTGGGCTGGCTGCAGTATCAGGCCTTGCTGGCCCGAGGCTGCGACTGGCCAGGCCAGAGCCCATGTCTGGGCATCCACCACGCCGAGTGGGCACGGTTGGCTCTCTTTGACTTTCTGCTTCAGGTAGGTGTGGCTGGGCAGTGGGGGTGGAGTTAGGGGTGGAGTTAGGGGTGGAGTTAGGGGTGGAGTT